AACAAAAGTTTGTATTCAGTCCTCCCCTTAGCAATTCTTGGCTTCCATAATACTCCAATATCAATCTTATAATCAAACATAACTCTAAGTCTTTTTATATGAACTGTTAAAGACCAGCAAAAAGGAGTTAATTTGATAAGTCCTTCATTCAACAAAACTACTGATCAGATATTGTATTTTCCCCTCTGAAAATTTTCAACCTATTTTAAACTTTTTAAATCACCAAGAATCATGCCCACCACAGTTTATTAACTCCAGATTAGGGGCATCTGAATGAATAAAAGCTTTTTTCACAATATAATATTTTAAGTAAATTTTTTGTTAAAATATACAGGGGGGAAGGCTTTTAAGCAGTAGACTCACCCTAGTTATTACCATTGAGATGAAAACCTGAATGCCTTAGAAGCCCCTTCTGTGCTTTCCCACTCACCAACTCCATCAAAAGGGACCACAAGAGGCAGGATAGCAAGTTCAAGGTGAACCCGCACAACTTTGGGAGACCCTGTTTCAAAATAAAAAAGGACTGGAGGTGAATGGAGCTCAGTGGTAAAGTGCCCCTGGTTTCAATCCCTAGTTCAGGAAAAGAAAAAAAAAAAAAGAAGAAGAAGAAGAAGAAGAAGGAGGAGGTAAGAAGGAAGGACCACTAGCCTGAGTTCGGCCACCATAGTTTGTTTTGCTTGCTTTTGAACTTCCTATGAATGAAATCACATAGCACTTATCCTGGTGTATATTCTTTCTACCCACCTTCTGTTCTGAGACTCTTCCACATTGTTGTATGAGGCAATAATTTGTCTACCCTCATTACTGTAGAGTATTCCATTGTATAAACAATATCTTTTATGCATTTATCCATTCTACTATTGAAGAACATGTGAGTTTTTTTCCAGTTGGGGCCTACTGTAATAATATTGCTCAAGTTATTCTTTTACCTGTCTTTTGGTTTACATATGTATACCTTATTTTTGAGTGTCTAATAATGGAACAGATGGATCATAGGGGATGTACATACCCCACTTCAGTAAATGATACTGCAAAACAAATTTCCAAGCCCTTATGCTACCTTTCATACCCATGAATTAGAATTCCAGTTTATCCACATTCTAATCAGTGCTTAGCATTGACAGTCTTTAATTTTAGCCATTCTGGTGAACATATAACAGGATCCCACTGTAGTTTTAATTTGCATTTCCCTAATTCCTAGTGAAACTTGTTCACCTTTTCATGTTTATTAGAAATTTGGAGATCCTCTTTTATGGGGTGACATTTGCTCATTTTTCTACAGAACTATCCATTTTTTTCTCCTTTATTTATAAATCTTTCCACAATCTAGCTATGAGTTCTTGATTTTGAAATATGTATTACAAATACCTTTACCCATTCTATAGCTTGTCTTCTCTTTATGGAGTCGTTAGATGAATGGAAGTTCTAACTAATATTTTCCTTTAACTATTTGTATTTTGTGTGTCCTAGGTCATAAGGATATTTTACTTAGCTTTCTTCCAGAAACCTATTGTTTTAGCTTTCACATTTCAGTGCATAATGGCTCTTGATTGATTTTTGTATATGAGATGAGGAAGATGATCAAGATTAATATTATCCATACGAATTTCCACTTGACTCAGCATCATTTACTGAAAAGGCCATTTTCTCTCCACTGCAGGGTCATCTCTGTCATGAATCAAAAGATCACATATGTGTAAACCTATTTGTGGATTCTCTATTCAGTCCCTATGGCCTCTCTGGCCTTGTACCAGAAATAACTACGTATTGATCTTGCAGCTTAAGTTCTCCAATTTTGCTCTTCTTAGATTGTCTACAATTTCCAAATAAATTTGAGAATCAGTTTATCAACTTTTTTGAAAATATTAATCTCTTGGGATTTTGATTGGCATTGCACAGAATCTCTAGATTTGTTTACTGAGTGATGACACACTCTCCATTATCTTCAGTCTTCTTTAATTTTCCTCAATGTTTTAGCTCGCAAAGAATTTTTTTTTAACATGAATGGGTGTTGCTTTTTATCAAACTTTTTTCTCCTTTATTCTGTGTATGGAGTTAATCACATTTATTGGTTTTCAAATGTTAGACAGTCTACATTTCTGGAATAAATCCAAGTTGTTCATGATTTATTGTTCTTTTTATAGGTTGCTAGATTTGATTTACCAATACATTGTTTTAAGTCTTCTGCATTCTTTTTTTATGAGCATTTGGCCTATAATTTTCTTGTAACTTCCTTATCAAGCCTTAGTCACAAGCTTATGCTGGCCTCATAAAAGCAACCAGGGAGCGGTTCCTCTCTTATTATTTTAAATGTTTGGAGAATTTCATGAGTGAAGCCATCTGGATTTGGAAATTTTGCTATGGAAGGTTTTTATCTACAATCAATTTCTTTAATAGATATAGGCCTATTCAAATTTTCTGGTTCTCATGTCTTTTTATTTGAAAAACTTGCCCATTTCATCTGAATTTTAAAATGTATTACCATAAAATGTTCATAGTAACATCTTCAGATCTTTTTATGTGTGGAATATATAATGATTAATTCCTTCTTTCATGACACTAGTAATACCATATACCACTAAAGATCATTTACACACACAAAAGGAGGAGGGGGACTGGTATATGTCGAATATCTACTATTCTCGGGTATATTACCCAAGAAGCCATGAGCTCATACTTTTTTTCCTCACACATCTTTATTTTCATAAATCTCTAATTTAAAATCACTATTTCATTGGATTATAAGTGTGGACAACAAACCACAATAAGAAAAGTTCTAGTGATTGAGTCATCAATAAAAAATCATAGATATGTTCATACTACAGTCCAACTGTTGGAAACACTGCAAAATATCATTGACATGAACATCACCAATTTGAAAGTATGAGACTCCATTGCTTCAGCACTGAATTTTGTTACATAATGCATTAATGAAGATGCACATAAATTTGATGAGGTTTAATACTATTTTGATAATTTTGTTTGAGTATCATTTATAATCCTATGACTTTTCTATAAGTTTTTTGCAGTAGCAGAAATTGAACCTAGGGCTTCACACTCTGAACTACATTTCCAGAACTTTTTATTTTGAGACAGTTTCCCCAAGTTACTCAGGCTGGCCTTGAACTTGCAATCCTCCTACCTCAGCCTCCAGGTATGCACTACCATGCCCAGCTACCGTATGTATTTTTTTTTTTTCATGCCTTTTAAAACACTGACTTCCCAGACTCCAAAGAAGTCCATGGTCAAAAGGAATTTAAAAAAAAAAAAAAAAAGAAAGAAAGAAATTTAAGAACCACCTACAAGGAACCCAGGAAGTTCAAAGCAACATTTAAGGAGTCCTTCCCCTTGGGCCAAGCCCACACTAACCAGTTCCTTATGTTACCTACAGAGTTCCCCACCAACATCTGGACACCTACAAAAATGACTGCTTCATTCAGGTCCTTGGCTGTCACCTATCCAAACTTCTCAAGAAGGGAGCAAATAGTAGATAAAGCACAGGCTTTGATCCAATGGAGGAGCCCCAAACCCAGTCTAAAACATATTACTCTGTGGTGTTCACATTCCCTCCAAGCCCAGTGAAAAGGATAAGCTACCCGTCTTTCCCAGTTACCATAAGATTTAGACATAATGTATCTAAAGCACATGCCAAGCACCATCCCCCTTAATTTGACATTAATTGCATCTCTCAGGGCAGAACTGTCCTTATGCAACACTTAATCACATTAGGGACTGCCAGTGAGAAAGAAGGAAGAAAAATCATGGGGAAGGTGGAACATAGAGAATGTGGGGGTCATTCTTTAAAATCTAGTATAAAAATCACCACCTCACTGAAGCCCTCCTTCTCCTGTTGGGTGTTCCTATGACATTAATCACACTCTGGTGAGTGCTTAGCTACAAGAAAGGAAGGATAAGAAATACACAACAGAAAGGTACAGAAACAATGACTCTCCCCTCACATAAGGCAAACCACTGAACATGCCAATCCCCAGCCAGGCAGCACTGATCCAAGTGCAAGGAACACGGAAAGCATCAATTGTTCTTAACACCAATGCCACTCCTACCTAGTACCTTGGGTAACCAAGAGCATGTGGGGAACTTTCTTATAAAGACTGGTGCCACCTGAATGCTAGACTCAGAACAGAAGAGAGAAACTGAGTCCAAAGATCAGAAAGCAAAAGACATTCCTAACGTTGGGGTTCCTAGATTTGCAGCAGGCAGGCGCACCCCTAATACTGCCAAGAGTACCAGGGTTCTGCAATTTCACGCAACAGTGCCTGAAATCGCGGCGAGAGGACGTCGGCAGGGGTGTGCACGGACTTGGTACGCAAGCCCGGTTCCACGCTCCAGGATCCCGCCTTTGCCAGGCGCGCAGTCCCCGCCGCCTTTGTCTCCTCCGCGGGACCGGGAACTTCCTATGTCCCGCCCTCCGGCGCGCACACGGGAACCGGGTTAGGATAAGAAACGCGTCTTGTTCGTTTCGTTTTTTCAACCGAGCAAACCAAAGCAAAAAAAGTCAGCACCCTAACCTCCCCAGGACTCCCTACGGTCACCAGCTACCAACCTCCGGGGCTGTCCCGGGCGGCGGCGACCGCGATGTTCACGCGCGCCACGAGTTCCCAACACCCCTCTCTCGGCACTTCCGAGTGCCAGCACCAGCCAGCTTCCCCGAACACCGCCCTCTTTCCCAGGGAGCGGCCCTCTGGAGGAGCAGCCCGCGCGCGTCCTCGGAGCACGCCCCCGCCGCGGTGCCCGCGCGCCCTCGGCTCCGAGCGGCGGCGCTCGGGAATCCGGGCGCTCCTGGGGCGATGGCTAGGAGGCCGCGCTGCTGGAAGGGGACCCGCAAGAGGGCGGCCTGCCTCTCGGTAGCAGGTCGGGCCAGCTATGTCTTGCCAAGGCCCGGGTTCCTGCGCTGAGCAGAGCACCCAGATCTCTCTCCCCCACGCGTGTTTTTTGCAAGTCTGGGGCTAGCTTCGGGTCAATTGCAGGGCGGAAGTCACCTGAAACCCGAAGTGGACAGTAAATCCAACACCAGTGGTCCCCACGTACGTTTTGTAGGCGAAAGGAGGTAGCTTGGTGGGGTGGTGGAAAGAGGGCGGGCTCTGCAGCCCTGGCAGCTTCACAGGCTTTGCCCTGTGAACTTAGCCCCTGTGAGCCTCTCTGTCCTCTGTAAAACAGAAATAAGCTTCCCCGATTCTCCTCGAAAATTAAGAGTGAAGATCAAACGGGAACAACTTTATGAATTGTAAAGCAACTTGCAGAGAGCACTACTGCAAACAAGATTTTGAATGAACTGTGAAGAGTGGACGATCTGAAGATGGCTCAAAGGATGTAATTAGGACGGTGACTTTACGTTGAGTGTTGATGCTCAGAGGCCTCCAGTGTAGATCTGAGGAACAAAACTCCTGACTTCTGCAGATTTATAGGAGCAGAATCACCTGGGCTCTCATTAAGAGCTGTTTCTGGATTCTCCCAATAAGGAATCAGAGTTCCCAGGTGTTTTTCTATGGTGAGGTAGGAATGGATAACTCTGCCTGGGGCAACAGGAAAACAAAGGTTGTGTTGTAAGAAGCTTAAACTACCAGTCATTATGAAGGCCCAGGGATTATTTTTCTGATTGCAAAATTCTCCTGAAATCCAGAATTTGAAGTCAGAATTGGAACTATCTTGTATGTCACCCTCCTGGGTCCCCAACGCCCAGTTCAAAGGACAATGTTCATCTAACAGGTGCTAGTAAACGAGCCCCAGTGAGAGACAGGTGTAGCCAATAAAGAGACAGGCTACCCAGCTGAAACTGAATTTCAGATATACAACGAATAAATTTTACTATCAGTATGGACCATGCAATATTTGTGACATATACTTGTGCTAAAAAAGGAAATCTCCTGTCTTTTATCTTAAATTAAAATTTAACAGGCATCCTGCTATCTGGAAATCAAATTCAACTGTTTTTTTTTTCTTTATTTACATTTTTTGTTCTAATTAGTTATACATGACAGAACGCATTTTTGACACAATCATCCATAAATATAACTTCTCATTCTTCTGGTTGTACATGATGTAGAAGAATCACACTGGTCGAGTAATTATATATGTACATAGTTCACTGGGTTCTTATCTGTCAACTCTAGATCCGAGGCGTGGCCAACTCAGGGAGAGAGATAACAGCTCCTGTTATTTCTAAGTGATGCTATTGGATATTAATGTTGTTTTGTTTTCATCTGTTTCTTTTTTATTGTTATTATTTATTTATTCTAATTTGTTATACACGATGGGAGAATGCAATTCACTTCATATTGCTCATACAGAGCACAGTTTTTCAAGTTACTGATTGTACATAAAGTATTTTCACACCATTCGTGTCTTACATATACTTAGGGTAACATATTCCCTCCATTCATTCCACCGTCATTCCTACCCCCTTGCCCCCTCCCTTCCCCTCCCTCCCCTTGGCCCTATCTAAAGTTCCGTTGTCATTTACTTTTAATGACAGAATGGGGAAAGCATTTGCACTAAAAAAGGAGGGAAGGAAAATTAGGAAACAAATATTTCACAAAACACTTAAAGAAATGAATAGTAAAATATGAACACTGTTTTTCACATATAAAGTTGACCAAAAAAAAAATAATTGAGGGGACTGGCTTGTAGCTCAGTGGTAGCACGCTTGCCTAGCATATGTGAGGCACTGAGTTCTATTATCAGCACCAAATACAAATAAATTAAATGAAGGCCCATCAACAACTAAAAAAAATTAAAAGTAATAAATAAATGAGGGCTGGGGTTGTGGTTCAAAGGTAGAGCGCTCTCCTGGCATGCGTGAGGCACTGGGTTCGGTTCTCAGCACCACAAGAAAGTAAAATAAAGATACTGTGTCCACCTATAACTAAAATAATATTTTAAAAATGACATTAAAGTTTAGTAAGGGTGATTATGGTAGCAGTCACCACACAACTCTTAGGTACACAAGCAATTTGACACTATCAAAACACTAAAAATATATCAAAATCCTCAAAAACATTCAAACCTTTTCAACTATTAATTTTATTTATGAAAATTAATCCAAAGGAAATAATCCATAATGTAGAAAATACTTTTTTCAATTTAATTGAAGTCTAGTTGACAAGTGCATATATTCAAGGTATACAACTGGATATTTTGGTATATGCATACATTGTTAAATGATGAAAATAATCAAGCTAATTAGCCTCCATCACCTTGTTTAATTAACTCTGTATGTGCATGCGTGTGTGTGTGTGTGTGTGTGTAGAATACCTATGACCTGTTCTCAGTAAATTTCAAGTCTACCATATATTATCAACTATAGTCACCACGATGTGCAAAACTTATTTATCTTATAAGTACAAGTTTGTACCCTTTGACCAATATGTTCCCATTTCCCCCATCCCCTCACCGTGGTAACCACTGTTTTATTCTCTTTCTATGAATTCAACTTTATCAGATTACACATTTAAATGAGATCATGCAGTATTTTCTGTTTGACTTATTTCACTTAGCATAATGTCTTCCAGGTTTGTCCATGTTGTCACTAAATGGTAGGATATTCTTTTTTAAGGCTGAGTAATAGTCCATTGTATTTATATACCACAGTTTCTTTATCCACTTATCTGTTGTCAGATACTTGCATTGCTTCCCTATTAAGACTATTGTGAATAAAGCTAGAAAATTCTCTTTATCAGCAAGTATTCTAATTTTCATGAACATATACAACTATGACTTGTCAATCAAAAGAACAATTACAAAATTATATAATTATGGTACTGGGAATTGAACCCAGGGCACTTTACCCCTGAGCTACACCCCCAGCCCATTTTTATTTGGGGACAGGACCTCACCAAGGTGCTGAGAATGGCTTTGTACTTGCAGTCCTCCTACCTCAGGCACCTGAATCACTGGGATTACAGGCATGTCTTATCACACCTGGCTAAGAAAAAAAAAATTTACTCTTAATTCATTTCATTTTAATTTATACCATAGTAGGGAAAATGCACCATATATGCCAAAATTCACCATGGGGGCGGGGGGCATTTTGGAAACTCCATAATATTCTAAAAATAGAGAAGTAGAAATTCACGGGGCTGGAGTTGTGGCTTGGTGGTAGAGCACTTGCCTAGCATGTGTGAGGCCCTGGGTTCGATTCTCAGCACCACATATAAATAAATGAATAAAATAAAGGTCCATCAACATCTAAAAAATATTTAAAAAAAGAAATCCAATCAAAATTATATACTCTTCTCTGTGATGTAATATGTATGCAACCTTTGAAATAATGGTTACTATTCATATGTAATATGATTATAACTATGTTTTAAACCTGTGCATGGAAAAGTGACTGGATATGACTAGAGAGGAAATAAAGTTGTTTAGATAAGGGTGCTTGCTTTATTCTTAATTTTTGAAAATTTTCATTGAGATAAGTTAGTTTATAATGGAACAAATTTAAAACCAAACAAAATAATTTTATGATCATTGTGTTAGCTTTCTAGGACTGTGACAAAATAAATACCTGTTATATTTCAGATGTGGGTGTCCCCCAAAAGCTCACGTATGAGACAATGTAAGAAAGTAGAGGAGAAATGATTGAGTTATGAGAGCCTTAACCCAATCGGTGAATTAATCCCTTAACTGAGTGGTAACTGAAAGCAGATAGGGCATGGCTGGACGCGGTGTGGCTTTGAGGTATATATTTTGCATCTGGTGAGTGGAGTCTCTCTCTGCGTCCTGCTCATAATGTGAACCTCTTCCCTCCACCACCCACTTCCACCATGATGTTCTGCCTCACCTGGAGCCCCGAGGAATGGAGCTGGCTATGGACTGAGACCTCTGAAACTGTGAGCCCCCAAGTAAACTTCTCCTCCTCTACAATTGTTCTGGTCAGGTCTTTTAGACACAGCAGTAAAAAAAAAAAAAATGCTGATTAAAACAATACCTGAGATGATCAACTTATAAAGAAGAAAGTTTTCTTTGGCTCATGGCTTTAGAGGTTTCAGTCTATAGAGGATGGTTGGCCCTGTTGCTTTTGGGTCTGTAGTAAGACGGCACATGATGGTGGAGAGCACCTGGAGGAGCAAAGCGGTTCATCTCATGGTTACCAGGAAACAGAAACAGGAAGTGGCCAGGCCCCAATATCCCCTTCAAGGACATGCCCTCAGTGGCCTCATTCCCTCCACTAGGCCCCCTTTCCTAAATGTCCCACCACCTCACAATAGCTCCATGGGCTGGAAACCAAGCCTTCAATACATGAGCCTTTGAGGGACGTTCAAGAGCCAAATATAACAGCGATAAAGGTGAGGTTTTTTTTTTTAATATTTCTTTAGATGTTGATGGACCTTTATTTTATTCATTTATTTATATGTGATGCTGAGAATTGAACCCAGTGCCTCACACATGCTAGGCAAGCGTTCTACTGCCGAGCCACAACCCCAGCCCTATGAAGGTGTTTTTATGAACTATAAGATCTCAGCTTACATGGTCTTTATTAAATGCTAAGCCTATCTAAATATTAAAACTCCTTAAAACATTTCCCCTACATATAAACACTGTTCCAAACTCCACATGTTGTCTGTTAACTTAGACACTATCCTTAGCAAATTCTTAGTTCTACACTGAATTTATCAAGCTAGTCATTCATGTAACTACATGCTAATAAAAGTGCCTTAAGTGTTTTATTAAGTTCAGCAAGTCACATGAAGCCTTACTCCTTCCTTTGGATTAAACTCTAAAATGCAAAGCTGAGACAGTGTTTTTTGTCATTTGTAGTAAACTATACATAGCATAAAGTTTGCCATCTTAACCATTTTTAATTGTACAGTTCCATGGTGTTAAGTACATTCAGATAGTTGTGCACCTCCAGGCTTCTTGTCTTGCAAATATAAAACCCTAGACCCAGTAGACAACTCCTCATTCCCCTCCTCCCTCCATTTATTCTACTTTCTGTCTCTGAGACTTTTAGACTACCCTGAGTCCCACAGATAGAGGGAAGCCATTCTACAGCATTTATACTTTGGTGACAGGCTTGTTTTACTTACCAAAATGATTTATCCATTTTGTAACATGTGTCAGAGCTTTCTTCCTTTTAAACGTAGATAATATTCCATTGTA